TAATAGAGTCCCTGGACCCAACATGACTCATTGCGACACATAATTGTCTTTGTGAAAAAAATCGCACTGTAAAGAAACCCCTATCATTTTCAAAGTCTGTTCCTGAGCTTTGTAGGCTGCCATTGCAAAAGCAAGTCTAACCGGAAATTGTTTCCGTCGCATTTGGAAGGGAAATATGTTGTCTGAATGCATAAGGGGAATCCTTGGGATGAAAAGTCTCTTTCTTGCATGTGGACCGCAAGCAACGACAGCATCAATTACATGTTGATGAAGGTGTTGAACCACATATCGAGTCCCGTTGCAGTGGCCGTTTGTGGGATCCAAATTTCTCAGCAACATGACAATGCTGTCTTTCCGCAATGTCAGTTTGTGGGGTGGCATACCTGACGGACATAGAAAATAGATAAATTCGATGGGGTATTGGTGTTCCTTTTCTTCCACCAAATCACTGCTCCTGCAGACTTTTTCTTTTCCGGGAAAGGACTGCATAATCAGGTTGTTGATTCTGTCTACTTCTATGTTGGTGGGACACATGATGCAGCGGGAAGCCAGCCAGTCAGGATTTGTGTTAGACTGCAAGTTACCGAAGACAAAATTTATCAACTCTCGTTCGCTCTTTACTTTGATGTCATCTGGCAGTTGTTGTTTTTTGCAAACTCCCCGATTTGCTTGCATACATTGTGTTTGCCATCACCAATGTTCAGTAGATAGTTGGAGAAATCAGCAGTCTCGCCTGTAAGCAAAACCCTCACGTTTCTTGACAGTCTGAGCACATTAACATGCTCCCACAGATATGATGATTTCAGCGTTGCATTGACTATCTGTGATCTTGAGCCATGGCAAACTATTGGTAGTATTTGGCGCCAGTCACCCGACATAAGCACAGTTAGCCCACCGAACAGAGAGTTATTCCCACATATGTCTTGAAGTGTTCGGTCTAAGGCTTCAAAGGTGTGTTTGTGGCCCATGGATACCTCATCAATGATGAGCAGCTCTGTTTGGCGTAATAAAGTGTCACTGGCATCTCGGGAACTCACACTGCACATGGACTGTTCGTTCACACTCAGGGGTATTTTGCATCTGCTGTGTAATGTTCTGCCATTTGAGAGCAGAGTTGCTGCAATGCTTGACATAGCTGTAGCAAGGACGATCTTCTAAAAGGAACGGACTGCCGCAAGAATCAGGTTTATAGTGTGGGTTTTCCCAGTCCCTCCACATGCCCCCAGGGCAAATATCTTGCCTTGCTTCTGTACAACTGACTCTATCACAGCATCATACACAACTCTTTGTTCTTCATTAAGCTTTGGGTACTCTCGACTCACCTTCTCTCTCAGGTTGTTTGTGTCAAAATTTAACTCCTCGTGGACAATTCTTGATTGTTCTCCCTCAACGTGACTGTGTTCTGCAGGTGGCAGCTGAAAGTCTTTCTGCAGATCCAACCCATCATTATCAGGAATGTCCTGAAATGGTAGCAACACTTGGTTCTCAATCTGTGAATTCAGCTCTGTGACCTTGTCTCTCATCATGATGTCCCGGCACAGTTCTAATTTGTGCTTATGCCAAAATGAGAGAGGATCAGCTGGGCGACATTAGATGAGAATGGTTGTAAAGGCAAGACGTAAGTGGGGTCCACATCTTATGGAAGATGCTTTTTGCATTGCTGCATCCTTCTCAGTGTCATCATCGAGCAGTCCAAGTTGGTTGCATGCGTCTTGATAAGATGTGCAACTTGATCCATTTTCTGTTTTCGGATCTTCAAAACTGATTGCCCCAGGCTTGTGGTGTAGTAGAAGTCGCAAGTAGTAGAGCTCTGCCTGGCGTGAACTAAGCGATACAATTGGATGCGCCCAATGCAGTCAGTTCTGCATTCCTCTGGATTATCTGGGTTTCTCACACCTCGTTTCCTTCTCTGCCACTTGTGGTCTTTATTATTCCAAGTGAAATGGTGGGGAAAATCTGGATAGATGATGTTTTTTGCTGTTGGGTCTTCTGTATTCATATTGAAAAAAGCAGTCAATTTTGTTGCTGAGGGTCCTTGACCAATAACTTGCTGAATATCTTCAGGCTGGAACAAAATTGTTTGTTGATTTGGAAGGTGGCAGGGCAACTTTTCCACTGGTGGGTATTTACTGTGGATTTCAAATCTATAGAGTCTCCAAAAAGCCTCACTCTCAGAGATGTATCGAGCATTGACATATCTTGAGATTTCATCCTTTTCAGTTTTCAGTGTCTGTTCTAACCTCCATCAGGATGCGGGCTTGGCCTTTTGTGATGTACTTGTAAAGATATTTCACAGCCTGAACAGAGTGGACAATTTCAACATTTATGTGCGCTTGATATCTAAGAGACAATGTTGGGTGGTACGGAACAATGAAAGAGTTGTCTACACGAACCTCCGAACCACGAACTTTCATCGTGTGTGTCCTACCGCCATGACGAAGACTCCGTCACCTTTGTTGCTTCTTGAAATTGCTTGGGAAAGTTTTTAGTACAATGATCTTCATCCATACTTGGACTGTTCCTGTTGATGTTGCCGCACGGGCCGTGTACATTCTGAGATGTTATGATTTGGTGTAGCAGTGGATTATTATCTCTGTCTGGAATTTCTGCATTGACTATTTTGTCTATGCCACCTGGTATATTGGGCTTCTGGTCTTTGTCCATAATTAGAAGAATATGTGCAAGCGCAATCCCCTTTTTTGGAACTCTATGGTAGCTGTGTGTGTCCTCACCCCTCCTAGTACTTCTTTCTTCAAAATGTCATCCATCAAGGCATTAAACATGAGTTTGAAGACTCTGCAGGATATATCAGGTCGACCACATGGTTGCTCCCCTTGATTTAAAGCAGCTGTGATCTTGGGCCATTTGCGATTACATGTGAATGTAATAAAGATGTCTGGCTTGCCAAGTTGTCTCACTATCGCCATGGCGTCCTGGGAGGATTCCGAATAAAATCTTGGGGAAAAGGTGCACTGTTGCTTGTAATATTATCTTCATGCCAACATTCACAGGGTCGTCAGCAGAAGCAACATCTATCAACCCTTGGTACTTCTCTGCACGAATGTTTTTTTTTGGTTTCTGCGCACCCATTCTAAGCGATTTCCCTCAATCTTTGCCCACTGGTCCACGGCATAGTGTTGCATCAGTCTCCTCATTTTGAATATGGTATTAAAATCATGCATGCGTACTTGGAGACGGAAGGCATAAAAATCTGTGGCAGTAAGGGTTCTGTTGTCTGACTTTTTTAGTCCTAGATGCCAGCCATCACATCCAGTGGTGAACGTGAGCCCATAGTGAAGGGGATCGTAACAACGATGGCACGTATTGATCCTTCGTAATTCCTGGCCAGCTCCTGATCTACATCGTAGTATGATGTCCAATTTGCCGGAGTGGTAGCACGCTCAAGGTCTTTCTCCAGATTCTGACTATCCGTTTCCTCTCGCTTTCACCTCTGTTTCGTGGGGTTACACAAACTCTACGTTTAAAGGGCATCTTACTACATTATTAACTTTATTAACTAATATCCCATGGCCCAATAGAAGCAGTTGAAATATAACTATGTGGTAAACACACACGACAAAAAACACAAACGGCACTTCTGTTCTTGCTGACTACTGCAAAAAAGTACAAATCTGTCGCACACACACGACAAAGCAGAAACCACACTTCTGTTCTTGCGAACTACTCACACGCACAACAAAGTGCGGGACCGAAACGGAAGTAGTCTCCAGTAAAATATGAAATGGCTAAAGGTAGAGTGAAAACATCCGAGAGCTTCGATTTACAGGAAAAACCATCAAACTTGAAAAATCAAAAGGTAGTTTCCGAACTTTGAAAGTATGCCCACGTAACCCTTTGGGGCAATTCTTGTCTGAATCATATTTTTGTAGATTTTATGGGCACCTGTGTAAAAAGTTTTTACTGACCCCACAAACGGGCTTAGCTCCATTATAATAAGATTATTATTACGTTAATTGTTAATCGTTATATTTATTTCGTTCAACCTGTAAGCGTTACATTTCGACCACATATATTTTCAACTGGCGTACTGTGTGATACAATGGTCGTAAAACAAAATCTGGAACAATGAAAGGTGACTTACCGTGTGTACAGCAAACAAACAATGTGGCCAAAGCCAGCAATATCTGAAGTCTCATGATGCAAGGAAGGAAGTAGCAGCAGGTACTACAATACTGTACCCCTTCCTGGCGTCTCTGATGATTGTTCAATGTTCGTCGATGAAAGTATGTTGAAGACAAGAGTCTTAATCAATGCAAAAGCCTTAATCGGTGGTGTACCCTCCCAAAGGAATTGTTGCGTTTGTAAGGCTGAGCTTGGTGCCTTTCTAAGAAAGGATGATATTCCTTATTGAAAGTTTTCGGCTAAGAGCTATGAAGCCCTTACACATTTATGACTTCTATAATTCCCAGAAGTGAAGCTCGATTGGTCGATTATTTAAAGATATTGATATTTATTTCAACATATAAATGACGAGGAAATCAAGCTTGAGACCGAATCCAAACTTCGGAACACTTGCTGGTGCAGAATATCAATTAGTAATTTAAGATTGAGTTCTGAAATGTCTTCAAGTGGGGCGATGGTGCATACAGATCAAAGGAAAATCCACGACCAGCAGCTGAAATGCAGTAAAGCAGAATATGTTACCATTTCCCTGCTGACCGAATTCTCTCACTGAAGGATCCTCGCCACTCAAGAGACACACTACAAACCCATGAACTTTAGAGGATCCAGAAACACTTCATGGATAAATGAGTAAAAGTGGACCACTTGTTACGTGCCTCTTCCTCAAAGAAGGAAGTTTTCAGTCAATCTATACCAAACTGGGTTCAACTATTATTTCTAAGTCAGGGGGTTTTCTCGTCAGTAGTGATTTGGAAAACACCCCTCAGTCGTAGACGGTACTCCCTCTCCTCAGAATGAATGGGAGTTCATCTCATAGTCAGTGGCTGACGACTAGGGCCGGATTGCGCGGCAAAGTGTTTACAAAGTCTTATCTCACGTGCTGACGGCCTGGCCTTATCAGACGTAAGCTTCAGCGTGAGCGCTGTGTGTGAAGACTCGAGGACGCAGAACTGGGAAAAGGGACAGGGGGTGCCATGGCTGCAGAAGTAAACGTAACTGTATGGGTTTAACGCCCTAATCAACACCATCAGGTTATTTAAGAGACGGGACCTCCGAGTTTAACATTGGTCTCCACCAGGACCAAGCGCCAAATGAATATAGACGGAGAGCCTTGCACTATCCACAAAACGACCCTTGCTCAAGAACGCCCAGTCCGGATTTCGAACCAGGGCCACCACGATATCAGCTGAGTTAACAGGGCACCAATTGTAGCGGATACGGTCCTAACAGTGGCACCTCGCACACAGTTGTCATTATCATCGAACTTTCTCACACTGTGCCGTAGTATCGGCCACCAACAAGAGCTCTCCATCTACTTCTGTCCTGGGATCTTGTCTCCACCTCTGTCCAGCAGTATCCTATTATCCTTTGCTTGAGGTCCAAATCCAGGTCCCTCCTCCAAGTACGTTTAGGCCTTCCTCTCTTCCTCTGTCCTTGTGGATTACATCCTTACTTTTGGTGGGTAACACAGTAAGATAAGATAGATAAGATAGACAATAAGATACATATTTATAGTCCAGATCCTGGAACATTGCTTTGGTGTTTTACCACGCACACACACAATGCTCCGCAACACGTCTAAACTGAGCTACGATGTTACAGTGATAGAATGAACAGAAGAGTATATATCCACAGTTTTAGAGACAGTCCGTGCTTACAAAACAATTTAATTTTTTTCTCCTTCAGTTCAACAACGGCTACATTACCCTCATTGTCTTTGTGGAACTCTTTAAATCCCCATCAACGTTTGAGATACAAAGTCGGAGGTATAATTTTTTAATTCATTTAAAAACATGCCTTACGAAGTGCCATTTTGATGGTTCATCCTCCTTATTTCTAAAGATCTTCTTTTCACAATGTGATGTGCATATCGTTATCCATGGTGCCGCAATAGTACGAATGTTTGCTTTTGTACTAGCGTTAATCTAAAGAGTATACACATGTTCATCCACTCACGTTTTGAGTTGAGATAAAAGTGTTGTAAAGCGCCTAGAACTGCGCTGTGCGAGAGAAGAGACTATAATATAAATGTCTGCATTATCGTTATTATTATTATTATTATATAGTAGTGCTGTAACCCA